AAGAAAGAGAAGAAGAGAAGAGGAGGAGGAGGAGGAGAAGGAAAGGAAAGAAAGAAAGAAAAGAAAGGAAAGAAAGAAAAAAAATGAGAAGACATCTGAGTAAGCTTCAACCCCAGAGTTCCGGCTTACCAGAGACAACCCAGGGTGCGATGCGGTGAAGCAATTCAGAAGCCAAACACCTGGACTCTCTTTTTTGGTAAAAGCAAAAGTAACAGAGCCGATAAATGAGGCTGTAGGAAAAATCATATCAAATATAATTTCTTAGATGACTGCTGAGGTAGTGACCATAATAAAATACTTGGTTAGTGACTAGAAAAAAAGTAAAAAAAAAAAAAAAAAGTAGAGTAGTTTAGGAAAATGATGGAAACCATGAACACCCAGCATAGTAAAGAACTGGAACTCATGAAACAGATTTAAACAGGTAGCCAAGAGATAAAAAAATGTCCTTAAAAGTATACCCAGCACACAGGGCCAGCCCGATAGCCAGACTAAAGCACCTGCTCAGGCAGAGTGCAGTGGCCGGGGTTTGATCCCCAGCATGCTGTGCCGGAATCAATCCAACATTTGCTAGATGATGCAAAGAAGAATAATGTAAGACTGACTGGGAAAATCAAAGATTGGAGTCAGTGAAAAAGTAGGAGATGGTACAAACAATACAAAATACCTGGTCACAGAAGTAATGGCAGAAAACTCCCCAAGCATGGGAAAGAATTTGACATACAGATAAGTGTGAACTACAATTAGAACTCCAGTTACCCGTGATCAGAAAAGTCTACACCAAGGGATATAATATTTAAGATTCCAGAAATTCAACATAAGACAATATTAAAAGCTGTTAAAAGAAACAGGGGGCCGGGGAGATGGCTCAGTAGAATAAGTGCTTCCCTGGCAAGCACAAGGGCCTGAGTTCAATCTCTGGTTCTGAAAAAAAAAAAAAGAAGAAAAGAAAAGAAACAAGTCACCTATAAAGGAAGCTTATCAGAATCACAGCAGATTTTCTAACACAAATCCTCCAGCCAAGCAAACCTTTGAATAAAGTATTTCAAACCCTAAATCAAAACCATCTCCAGCCCGGATTGAGGAACTCTACTGTAGTGGTTGATGTATCATGTCACCTTGGCTGGGTGACTGTGCACGGTCAGCCACACCACTTCAGATGAGTGCTGGTCTTTGCAGTGGAGTGCTAGTCTTCACAGTCAGCCTAGAAGGGAGAGAGAGGATTGACGGACTCTGCAGCTGCTGCTCCTCCTCTGCTCTTCATTGTTTTCTGCTGCCATGGACGGCTGCCTCGGAGTCAGCGGAGTATGGACTGAAACCTCCACATACTGTGAGCTAAATATACCTTTCCTTCCTTCATTTTGAGTGTTGGGTATTTGTCCCAGCATCGAATGAAAAGTAACTAAGACATTTACAGAACTACCTTTCAAAAAAATTTTTTTTTAAATTTATTTATTTGTGTGTGTGTGTGTGGCCAGCTCAGCCCACCAGGGGGCGGGGTGGGCTGGCATGTGGTGCTGGGGGATTGAACCGCGGTCCCTGTGCTTTACTAAGCTTGTTCTAAGTAGGTGCTTTAGACCACTGAGCCATCTCACCAGCCCCACCTTTCAAAATTAATGGATAAATAAGATTCTTCCATGGTAAAGAACACCCAACCACATTCATAACCACCAAAACTAGCACTCTAAAATGTTCCGAAGGACATTCTAGAAAGAGATGATAAGGACTACAACTTCATGAAACCCAAGAAAATGAATCCACCAGGCAGGGCAAGCGCTCAAATGGGGTGGGGGCAGGAAAACCAACAACATGAAAATAACAGGACAAGAAGTCAATATATATCAGTTATATCCATTAATGTTAATGGTCTGAACTCACCAATCAAAAGAGACTGGCATAATGGATCAAGAAGCAATATCCAGCGATGGGGCTATAGCTCTGTGGCACAAGCACCTGCCTGGCAAGCACAGGTCCTGAATTTGATTCTCTGTACAAAAAAAAAAAAAAAAAAAAAAAAAAAGTAATATCCAACAATATGCTGCATACAAGAAACAGATTTAATGCAAATGGAAATGAAAAAACTGAAAATCAAAGTGTCCAACAGTACTCCACGCGATAGGAACCGGGAAAAAGCAGGGGCAGCCATTCTCTTTGCAGACTAAGCGGATTTCAAGCCAAGAATGATTATGAGAACTAAAGAAGGTTACTGCATCCTTGCAAAGAGCACAATCTAAGAGGAAGAGAGAACAGTCATAAATATATATGCACCAAATACCAGCAATTCAACTATATAAAACAAATATTAACAGAAATGAAAAATAAAATAAGCACGAATACAATTGTAATGAGGGACCTCAATACCCCACTGTCACAAATAGACAGATCAACTAGATGAGAAAATCAACAAAGAACTATCAGAACTGAACCAAATTTTGAACAAATGAATATAGTAGATGTCTACAGAGTGTCCCACCCACCACATCACAATACGCATTTATCTCAGCTGCAGATGAGACAGTCTCTAAAATAGACCACATACTAGCTCACAGAACATGCTTAAGTAAACGTAAAGGAATTGAAATTATCCCACGCATATTATCAGACCATAGTGCAATGAAATTGGAAATCAATGCCAAAGAAACCGCAAGAGCTTTATAGACACATGAAAATCAATAACACTCTCCTGAATAGCCAGTGACTCACAGATGAAATTAAAGAAGAAATTAGACAGTTTCTATAATTAAACAAAGGGGCTGGGGCTTTAGCTCAGGGATGAAGCACCTGCCCGGCAAGTGGGAGGGCCTGAGTTGGATTCTCAGTACCTACTCCCCCCAGAATAGAGCATACAATTAAACGATCATGCCAGTACAACATACCAGAATGTATGGGGTGCAATGAAAGCAGTCCTAGCAGGAAAGTGTATAGCTGTGAATTTTCACATTCAAAATACAGAGAAAGAGCAAATAACCTAATGGTGAATCTCAGGCTTCTAGAAAAGAAGAGTAAGCTGAGCCAAAGCACATATGGGGGAGGAAATTATAAAGATCAGAGCAGAAATTAATGCAATAGACACTAAGGAAACAGTACAAAGAAATCAGTGGCTCAAAGAGTTGGTTATTTGAAGACCAAATAAAATTGACAAACCCTTAGCCAATTTTTTTAAAAAATATTTTTATTTATTTATTTATGTGTGTGTGTGTGTGTGTGGCCAGCTCAGCCCACCAGGGGGTGGGGCTGGCTGGCATGTGGTGCTGGGGGATTGAACCGCGGTCCCTGTGCTTTGCTAAGCTTGTTCTAAGTAGGTGCTTTAGACCACTGAGCCATCTCACCAGCCCCCCTTAGCCAATTTTACCAAAAGAAAGAAAAAGACTCAAATCCATGCAGTTAGGAATGAAAACATTGAAATCACAACATACCCTGTAGAAATCCGGACGGTCAACAACATGTACTTCAAAAACCTGTATTCTTGTAAGATGGAAAACACAGAAGAAATGGACAGATTCCTAGATATGTATGAATTACCATAACTCAATCAAGAAGACATAAAAATTCTAAATAGACCAATATCAGCCAATGAAATTGAAGATATGATAAAAAAAAAAAAACTACCAACAAAGAAAAGCCCAGAATTCATTGCTGAATTCTACAAGATATTTAGAGATCTAATGCCACTACATAAAAATCCTCAATAAGATACTGGCAAACAGAATGCAGCAAATCATCATGAAGACTATATACCTCATGACCAAGTGGGATTCATCCCAGAGATGAGAAGATGGCTCAACATATGCAAATCAATAAATCTAATACACTATATATACAGAGCCAAGGACAAAATCCATATCACCATCTCAATAGATTCAGAAAAAGTGTTTGACAAAGTCCAATACCCATTCATGATAAAAATCCTAAAGAAAATCAAAATGATCTTTAATCTGGTAAAGCCGTCTATGACGAGCCAACAGCCAATGTCACACTGAATAGACAAAAACTGAAAACAGTCACACTAAAGTCACGAGGATAAGAATGTCCACCACCACGATCTGTTGTGATTTCAACCTTTTCCTATTTAATATGGTTCTGGAAACATCAGCCAGAGCAATTAGACAAGACAAATAAAAGGAATAAGGATAGGAAAGGAAGAAGTCAAATTTTCATTATTTGCAGATGACTTGATACGGTACATAGAAGACTCCAAAAACTCTAGCAGATTTCTAGATTTAATAGCTAAATTCAGTGGAATAGCTGGACACAAAGTCAGCACTCAGAAATCAATAGCGTTTCTGTACATGAATAAATTCACTGGGAGAAAAATCAGGGAAACCAGACCTTTCACAATAGCATGAAAGAAAGAAAGACGGACCTAGGAATCACTCTAAGGAAGAAAGTAAAAGACTTTACATTGGAAATTATATTACTATAAAAAAGGAGATTGAAAAGGCTATCAGAAAATGAAAAGCTGTTCCTTGTTTGGGGTAGGAAGAACCAAGATTGTGAAAATGGCCATACTATCAAAATTATTATGCAGATTTAGTATAATACTGATCAAAATACCAACAGCTTATCTCACATAATTAGTGAAAATAACCCTAAAATTTATTTGGGACCAGGAAAGGCCTAGAACAGCAAAAGCAATTCTTGGCAACAAGGGCAAGGCAGGGGCAACACAATCCCAGACTTGAAATTATACTAAAAAGTTACCGTGATAAAAATAGCATGGTACTGGCAAAAAGCAGACCCGAGGACCAATGGGACCGAGCAGAAGATGCAGGTGCAACTCCGGACACACTCAGCCACTTTACTTTTGACAAAGGCGCAAAGCACCTTCACTGGAAGAAAGGTCGCCTCTTCGTAAATGGTGCCGGCAAAACTAGCTTTCCACACGCTGAAGACTAACCCATGTCTATTACCACGCACCGAACTAAAATTGAAATAGACCAAAGATCTAAATATTTAAACAGAAACATTAAGAGAAAATAGAACTCTTGAAGACATTGGCGCAGGTGAAGACATTGGCGCAGGTGGAGACATTGGTGCAGGAGGCGACACTGGCGCAGGTGGAGACATTGGCGCAGGTGGAGACATTAGACATTGGCGCAGGTGAAGACATCGGTGCAGGTGGAGACATTGGCGCAGGTGGAGACATTGGCGCAGGTG